TCTTCTGCGTCTGCTCGAGCTTCGGCTTCTTCCTGGAGGTGCGGCGAAGGGGGTATTCATACAGGAAAGCACATCAACTGCTGCTGCTGCTGCTGCTGCTGCTGCTGCTGCTGCTGCTGCTACTACTACCAGTACTACTACCACTACTCGTACTACTACTACTACTACTACTACTACTACTACTACTACTACTACTCCTGCTGCTGCTGCTGCTGCTGCTACTACTACTACTACTGCTACCACTACTGCTACTACGACTGCTGCTGCTGCTGCTGTTGCTACTTAGTACAACTAGTACTAGTACGAGTGCCACTACTGCTGCTACTCCAGCTGCCGCTGCTGATGCTGTTGATGCTACTTGCTGCTACGGCTAGTCTTTATTGTCGTGATGAACCTACAGCACGGGCACTGAGTCTCCACACCCCAGACTTGCTGCCGTCAGAAGGCCGAAATCGGATAGATTTGTCGCCTTTGCCTCTTCTGTCTGTGGCTCAGACGGGTTTGGGGCAGTTCAGAGTGGGTGTGTGTGTGTGCATATACATACAGATATCACTATATGTAAATTTGTGTGCATATATACATATGTATGTGTACAGACAAGACTTACATAGAGTTTAGGGTTTAGGGCTTAGGGTGTCTTCGACTTCAGGTGGTTTCTGGTGAGCTTGAAGGGGAAAGATGGTGCTTCCTGCACTTTGGACATGCCAAGGACTGACTTGTTGAGGGATGCTTGGGCTTGTTGTTGCAAGGAATAGTTCAGTTCCTGATATTTTATTATTCATACGCTTTAATGCCTCCTGTTGTACAGGTTCCCATTCAGCAACCTTACTCCTGACACAATCTTCACCAGAACAGATTTATGCAGGTCCCAAACATTTACCAGGGAAGCCTCTCTCAACCCAAGGAAACCCCACATGAAACCCTCTGCAAGGGTGCCACTTCCCGAGGTCGCCAAGCATGCCGTCGCCCTCCATGACGGGCGAGGCGGAGAGGCCACTTGCCTGGGAGCCCCGTGGACCACCGGGGGACCCATACTTTGAGAGTTTTTCTGCAGCCAAGTGGGCATGCTGATTCCGTTTGGCGAGTGTCTGTAGTCGTGGTGATGTAGCGTAACCGGCCGGTCAGCTTGCGCAAAGTCTGCAGAAATGTTGCCATCGTGATCAGCAGGCAAGAGACCGGCGACGAGCATGACTTTTTTGCTGGGGCCTCCCTGGCCAATTTGCAGTCTTCCGGGCGTGTGAGTCGTGGAGTGGTGTGTGCAGTTTGTTCCTGCGCATTTCAGTTTTGAGGCCTGAACCCATTCTAAATCGCAAGACACCCTGCTGGTAAATTTTTCAGTTCTCGAGCTTTTCCGCATTCGCAAAGATCTTGGAGTCCAGCTGCTTGCAGTTGAGGGTTGTGAAAATCGGAAATCATGTACATCATTGTCATTCTACGTATTTCGGAACTCAATTGCCAGCGAGAAGAGCAGCAGATCTTCGCACTCGAAACGCCTCGAGCTGCAAGTCCTGTTTGATGCTTAAACCACAAAGTTGCAGAACAGGCCCGTCAAACATTAGAGATTCGTGACCACAGCATAGCACCGACATGCATGCACCAGCTACATGCTAAACTTGCTAAACCCGAAAACTCTCACAACCCTGAACTTGTAGCTGAGTCGGCTGTGACCGATGGGCAGGTCGTCCGACAGATCCAGCGAGATTACTCCATGCTCAGAGCGGGCAACGCCTCCTGGATCCTGTGGTTCTGTACTCAGCGCTGTCTTCTCGTTTGGAACGTCAGCGCTAGCCGCACTTTCGTTATTGTTTTGGGCGCCACTGTGGGACACTTCTATCGCTGTCATCAAGGCAACTTCATCTCACCAGCAGCAGCATCATCATCATCAT